AAAAATTTGGCAGCCCTTTGCACGCACTCTAGGTAATTGTGAAAACCAAATGTGGTGCAATCCTTTCCTAAAGCAGAAACCTTCCCTGGCTTCTGCTCTCTGAGACAGTAATTCAGAGATCAACCTCCCCTTCCCAGAGCAACCCTCCTACTACCCCACCCCAAAAAAGAGCAAAACTGAGCAGGAAAACAATGCAATGCAACCCCAGAGACAAAACCTGTGTCATGCCCAGCATCACGAAGGCTGAGTCGGTGGAGCGTCCCAGGCGGTCCTTGGCAGCATCTGCACCGCAGAAATAAAGCACTTTGACACCAGATTAACCACCATGGCTCCAGTCTGAGGAATTCTGGGATCTGTAGTTTTATGCGCTATTTAGCCCCCTCTGGTCCAACACACACTGCAGAAATAATCCAGTCTGAAACTGCTTTAACTGCCCTGGTTCAGTGCCTGGGAAATGCAGTTTGTTGTGGCACCAGAGCTATCTCTGACAGAGAAGACTAAATGTCTCACAAAATTACAGTTTCCAGAATTCCCCAGCACTGAGCCAAAGCAGTTAAAGCGGTCTCAAACTGGATTATTTCTGCGGTGTGTTCTGGACCTCGATCAAAGATCCCTGGTGCCACAAGAAACTACAAGTCCCAGGATTCCACAGGATGGAGCCATGGCAGTTAAAGTGGTGTCAAACTGCATTCATTCTTCAGTGCAGGTGCAACCCTTTTCTGTAGAGATGGGTTGGTGGTGGTTGCAAAACTCCCCAAGGCTGCCCATATCCCACCCTGAGTGTAAGAAGAAGAACTGAGGAAGAGGGAAGGAGGGAGAGTAGGCAAAGAGTGCTTTGATTGGGAGTTCCTGCATGGCAGGGGGGGTTAGACTGGATGGCCCTTGTGGTCTCTTCCAAGGGCCTTTGCAGACTGCCAAAAATAGTGCAAATTGAGTCCACTTTAACTGCCCTGACTCAGTGCTAGGGAGTTTTTTTCTCAAGCCATTGAATCCATGGATAAAAAATGGAATTTTTATCCATGGATATGGAGGGCCAGCTGTACCTTGAATTCAAACTCGTAGCTTATGGGGCAGCCATTACCGATTTGTGTAAAGCTGGGTGCAGCCAGAGTCTTGAGAACTAGTCAAGCAGTCCAATGGGGTCACAGGTGATTTTCTGGTGAGGAGACAAAGTGGCTCTCCTCACGCAATATGGTGGCAGGAATGTGCCAGGCAGGCCCTTCCATGCCCACATAAACAGATCTAAAATGCCCACAGCAAAGTAGCATAGTGGTTTGAGTGCTGGACAATGACTCTGGAGACCACGGTTCGATTCCCCTCTTGGCCCTGAAACTCACTAGGTGACCATGGGCAAGTCACACACTCTCAGCCTCAGAGGAGAGTCATGGCAAACCTCCTGAGTTAATCTTGCAAAGAAAACTCCATGCCTTAGGGTCGCCATAAGTCAGAAATGGCTCGAAGGCACACAACAACAAACAAGCAAGCAGGCAAGACTGTGTTGGTGGGAGACAGGGCAGGTAGCAACGGAGCAACCAGCAAGGTGAACGAATCACATGCCAGGCACCTGAGAGAGAAAGGCTATAAGCCAAGAAACAAGGAATAAATGCAAGCCAGGCTGGCTCTCCAAGGCCTGGCGTCCATCCCACTGACCTGCCACACATCTAGGATTTATTGAACACATTCACGTGCAGCCATGAATGTAAACACACACACACAGAAGGAGAGAGATGGCCAAGGTGCTGCTACAAACTTCGTTTTTTGCCAGACATTTGGGCTCCCAGACAAAGGCCCACATTGGTGCATTACACCGGAGTAGCCGCGCCAACACAGAGCGTGGGAGCAGGAGGGGAAAAGCAGCCCCGGGTGCAGAGACCACGGAGGAAGTGAAGCCATGGGAGAAAGAGGCAGCTCCCGGCCCTGCCAAAATTTCACCCGCTTCTCCTCGCCTCCGCCATTGCACCACCCTGAGCGCGCTGGCAAAGACTCGGGCCTGGCTTCTCAGGGGATCCTCAGAGGCTCTTAGTGCAAACCTCTCCAAAACGCCTTGTAGGAGGAAGAGGCCGCAGGAAGTACAAGCCTCCATCACGTAGGGTTTGTTTTCAATCACATCGCAGGCCTCCCCGAGGAAGGGAAAGGAATTTCCCACAGCTGCTTCCAAAAAGGAAAACCCAGCACTCCTGACAACAATGTGGGTCGCAGCACCTCTGAAGCAAGCGTGCTCACTAGCGCAACCATCCAGGACAGCAATGCACGCACACTCTGTAATGCACACACACTGTGCAAACATGCTGGAGATGTCCAGTGCAAAAGCCTCAAATAAGGACTCCCCGACTCACCAGAGAGAGGCCCATGAATGCAGCGGGACAGCTAACAGGCGCTGAGGACTGGAAACTTGGCCAAACTGGCCAGCAGAAGCGATTCAGCCACTTTTGTTAAACATGGACTTAAAACTGTGGATTTCACTCAGCTTTGCCCTCTTTCAAGACTTCACACCTCTGCCTCCATTTTATGGATAAACAAAACCATCTGCAATTTATTCAGAAGGAAGTGTCACTATTTAATGAATTAACTACCTTCTCACCTTTCTCCCAACAATGAGTGGCCCAAGATGGCTCACATCATGAATTAAAATAAATTACATCTCATGATACCACATAAAAACCTCAATGTAGTATTATTTTAAACAATTGTTACTACCATTAAATGCCAAGCACATCATCTACCATGTCACAGGGAAATTCAAATGGAAATTCAAGTGATTTAAATGGAAATTCAAGAGATAAACAAAAGGGTCACCCTCTCCAGCTCCCAGGTTTTGGCTTGGGATGGTGACCATATCTGGCAGTAGGAGGGGGCACAGAACTTCAAAAACCACCTTTCAGTGGATGGAAGCAATGATCAGGCCGGATTTGCTGCAAACAGCTGCTCAGGTGGCACCAGGAGCTGTACCTGTTTGCTAGAGGTGGAAAAGGGCAACCTTTTCCCCTAAACATCATTACGGATTGACTGTCCCTTATCCAGAATTCCAGAATTTGATATACTCCAAAAGTGTCTACATGAGTGGCTGAGAGAATGACACCTTAGGCTTCCTGATGGTTCAATGTACCCAAACCTGGTTTCATGCACAAAATTATTAAAAATATTATGTATAAAATCACCTTCAGGCTATGTGTATGAAGTGTATGCAAATCATAAATGAACTTTCATGTTTCACCTTTGGATCCCATCTCCAAGATAACTACTTATGCATAAGCAAATATTCCAAAATATGGAGGAAAAATCCAAAATCCCAAACACTTCTGATCTGGGCTTTTCGGACAAGGGCAAAGCAACCTGTATTCCACTTGGAATTTTTTTCAAAATAAATGAATTTGTTTCAGGAGACCAAGTGCCTTCCTCACAAGAGTGGTGCATCTAGCCCTCACTGCAGCCACTGCCTGCATCCCTCTGGCAGGGAAGAGGCAT